AGCTACTCGGGAGGCTGAGGCAGGAGAATGGCGTGAACCCAGGAGGTAGAGCTTGCAGTGAGCTGAGATCCGGCCACTGCACTTCAGCCTGGGCGACAGAGCGAGACTCCATCTCAAAAAAAAAAAAAAGTTGTGCTAAAAGTAAGTTAATATTGCAACAGATGTTTCCTTCCATCAGACATTTCCCTCCATGGTGGCAGACGAGGGCTGGGCGTGGGCAGCTGTCACCCAGCCCCTGGGGACTTAGAGCTGCGGGGTGCGGTGGGGTGGGCTGCAGGGAGCAGACCCCGCCGGGCCACTGGTCCCTGACCCAGAGCCCCCACTGTCCCCGCCAGGTGGTGGCCTCTGCCATCCCCGATGACCAGCGGTGGGGTGTCCGCCCTCAGCAGCCACAGGTGGGTTTGCGGCCCCTCAGGCCCCGCCTGGCCTTACCCAGCTTTGTGGGAAAGAAAACCCTGCACAAGCTTGGAGCCCTCCTGGGGCCGCAAAGTTCCTCTGACGGGAGTGTGGGGTGGCTGTCCCGTCCCTGTGTGAGACCTGGGGAGGCCACTCTTCAAAGTTCAGCCCCCGACCCTTTACCAGAGCAAGGCTGTTGCTTTGTATCCACAGGGACTGGGAGCGAACCTCGATGCCAGGTAGGAGGGGCCGGCTGGGCCCTGCGAGCACGTCCCTTTCCTGCGGGCAGAGGCCCTCCCCATGGGGCCATTCGGGCCGGGCACAGGAGGGCACTCAGATGGGCCGGGCCTAAGAGCCTCCCTCCTCTTCCCAGGTCCCCAGTCATGGACTCCCCAAGAGCTGGCACCCACCAGCGCCCCCTCGATGCAGAGATGGAGGTCGGTGCTGACCGCTGCACGTCGACCGCCTACCAGGAGCAGGTTCGTGGGCCTGGGCCTCTTCCCCTGCTGGGGGTTGGTGCTTCTGCTGCCTCTGCGGACCGGGGACCATAGTGAAACCAACACGAGGGTGGAGGGAGCAGCTCACTGCGGGGTAGATGGGGCCAGGCTCACCCACGGTCCTGGCCCAGCCCAGCCAGATGGGAGAGTGCCTGGCTGTGCCCGAGGCGAGAGGGTGCCGGCCATCAGGGCAGGAGAGAGGTGGTGTCCAGTGGAGACATCCAGGTAGCCCTGCAGGCCCTCAGCCCCCAGGACCACCTCAGGCTGGCCATGGCCCCTCTCCTCCCACTGGGGTGGGAGTGACCAGGAGTGATCCAGCTGGGGACAGGCAGGAGGCAGGACAGCTCTGGAGGGGCCCCGAGGCTCCCGCCCCCACATGGGGGCCCAGCAGTGACTCTATCTCCCCAGTCCTCCCGGACGCCCCTGACACCTAGGGAGAGGCGGAGGAAAGCAAGAACCCAGCTGCTCTCAGGGTAGCAGCCGTGAGCAGGGGCTCTGCTGCAGGATCCAGGAGGCCCAGAGAAGGCACCTCCATTTCATGCTGGGCGCATCTGAGGATGTGGTCAGGAAGCAGCCCCGGCACTCTCTCTTTATGGATGCCCACTTCCAGTTTAACTGTGGCATCCTAGAGGCAAGGGCGCCCTCCAAGCTCTGCTTCACTCAGTTCCCTCTGGGTCTGGAACCATTCACCCAGTTCCCACCATGGGCCTTTAAGCCCTCATCCTTCCTAACCTAAGGCAACTTCAACCATCTGATAAATCTAGTAAGTTACAACTGAGGCCGGGCACACTGGCTCATGTCTGTAATCCAAACACTGTGGGAGGCTGAGGTGGGAGGATCGCTTGAGCCTGGGAGGTGGAGGCTGCAGTGAGCCATGACAGTGCCACTCCACTCCGGCCTGGGCGACAGAGCAAGACCCTATCTCAAAAACAAAAGGAAAGAAAAGGCCAGGTGTGGTGGCTCACGATGTACTCCCAGCACTTTGGGAGGCCGAAGCAGGCGATCACGAGGTCAGGAGATCGAGATCAGCCTGGCTAACATGGTGAAACCCGTCTACTAAAAATACAAAAAGTTAGCCGGGCGTGGTGGTGGGAGCCTGTAGTCCCAGCTACTCAGGAGGCTGAGACAGGAGAATGGCGTGAATCCAGGAGGCGAAGCTTGCAGTGAGCTGAGATCACGCCACTGCACTCCAGCCTGGGCGACAGCGAGATTCCATCTCAAACACGACCACCACCACCACCACCTGACCCTCAGGGTCCAGCCAGCGCCAGGCTGTGACTTTGTGACTTGCAGGCGGTGAACTCGTCCCTTCCTTGGTGCCCAACTCAGGGCACACGGTTAATGTCCAGCCCACACAGAGGCCGGGGGCCAGGGACTGGGTCCTCAGCTTCCTAGGGTCACTGGGGAGCCCACCCACCTTGAGCTGCCACCTCGGTGGGCCTGGGGGGACGTGGTGCTCCCTCCTGGTGACAGGCAGCCTCCAGGCCTGCAGGGACCCAGCCCCATCCTAAGGCAGCTGACTGTGGGCAGGCTGCCTGCTGGGCGCTGGCCGGGCACACAGGTCACACCCTTGCCGTGGGTTCTGCTAGGACGGTACTGGCCTCCGGCACCTGACCACCCTGGCCCACCCAGCCTGTGCTTCTCTTGCAGTGGCCCCAGGTGGAGCAAGTTGGCAAACAGGCTCCTCTCCCCCCAGGTATGGGGATCCTCAGCAGTGGGGTCCCCGGGTGAGGGAGGAAGCTGCTGGCGCACAGCTGCCGGCTCCACCCACAGGGCCCACTTTGGTGGGAGTGGCTGTGTCAGTCCTTGCTCTGTCCTGCAGGGCCACCAGCAACGGGGGCGCCTGGCCCCGGCCCCTGTGAGGACCCCGCGGGTGCTGGGGTAAGAGGCTCTGGACCCTTCACCTGTCAGTCAGCTGAGGGAGGCCGAGGCCAAACCCCATCCCTCAGAATCAAGGCTGGCAAGCCCCCCTCACCTGCCCAGTCTCTGCCCACACCCCTCGGGCTGAAGACGGCCCTGACCAGACCCGGGGCCTCAGTGGCCATCCCTCCCCCTCCTGCCTGGCCGCAGGGAGCAGGTGCGGGGGGCTCCGAGCCCCTGGTGACTGTCACCGTGCAGTGCACCTTCACCGTGGCCCTGAGGGCGAGAAGAGGAGCCGACTTGTCCAGCCTGCGGGCACTGCTGGGCCAGGCCCTCCCTCACCAGGCCCAGCTTGGGCAACTCAGGTGGGCCAGAAAGCCCCTGCGGGCTGCGGCGGAGCTGGGCAGGGGTGGGGGTGGACTCTGCGCTGGGCACTGCCCCGACTGAGGCAGCTGCTGGAAGAGGGGGTGGCAGAGGTCACCGTCCTCCCTGCAGGCCCCACCCTGGAGGCCCCCTCTGAGGAACCTCTTTGCAGTTACCAAGCCCCAGGTGAGGACAGGCAGTGGGTCCCCATCCCCGAGGAGGAGTCGCTGCAGAGGGCCTGGCTGGACGCGGCTGCTGGCCCCAGGGGGCTGCAGCTGCAGTGCAGGGTGAGCCGAGGGTAGGGCAGGGGCAGAGGCAGGGGCACCCTGAGGGGTGGTGGAGGACCCTCCTCCCAGTGCCCGGCCCGACCTGCAGCCCACTCTCCTGCCACAGGGAGCTGGGGGCCGGCCAGTCCTCTACCAGGTGGTGGCCCAGTACAGCTACTCAGCCCAGGGGCCAGAGGACCTGGATTTCCGACAGGGGGACATGGTGGACGTCCTGTGTGAAGGTAGGGTGGGCATGGCCCTTCCCAGGCAGCACCGGGATGCCCGGGGTGTGGGGGGCTTACGGCTTGGCCTGTGCCGTGAGCAGACCCAGATGCCTCTGGGTGCCACGTCTGGGAAGCGCCCTGCAGAGCCCAACGTCCCCCTTGCAGTGGACGAGGCATGGCTGGAGGGCCACTGTGACGGCCGCATTGGCATCTTCCCCAAGTGCTTCGTGGTCCCCGCCGGCCCTCGGATGTCAGGAGCCCCCGGCTGCCTGCCCCGATCCCAGCAGGGAGATCAGCCCTAGCAATGCTGTGTACATGATGTTTTAATAAAAACCATGCTCACTGCAGTGTAACCCTCCAAGCAGGTGTGGAAGGCTGGGCTGGCCCAGGAGAAGCCCCCGGGTCTGGACTCCTGCAGCATCAGGCAGAGCGGGGGTCCAGGCAAGGCAGCTCCCTCCCCTCTGCCCCTGTCTACCCTTCCTGAGGCCCTGTCAGGAGCAGGACCCTATGCCTCTGTGGTCTTGCCCCCTTTGCAGGCAGTATGTGGCCCTGCAGTCACACAGCTTGGAGACACCATGAGTCCTGGCGGCCTGTGTGCAGAAAGGCACCAAGGGCCCTGGAAGCCCAGTGTGGGAGGGGGCGGGGTCCAGGGACGCCGGGAGGGGAGGCCACGCAGCCTCTGTGGACAGCACCACCCCGAGGGTGCCCTGGAGGTGGCTGTCACCTGACCTTGGGCAGAGCCACAGAGCAAGGTCCCACAGTGCTCAGGGCTCAGGAAGGCTCCAGCATCCGGGACGCAGCTGCCTGTGGGCTCTGTGGGGGCCCACCTCCGCCTCCCACTAGTCCTGCAACCAGAAGAGCTGGACCAAGGCAGCCCCCACCACCGCCACCAGGGTCAGCACCATGAACACCACTTTGGCCACCCAGACGCCGTAGCTCACTGCCCACAACTGAGCCGGTGCGTCGGCTGGGATCATCCCGGTCAGGTTCAGCATGTAGCCCAGTGTCCAGCCAGTGTCCACACCTCCCGCCTGCAGGACACACGGCTGCTCAGGGCTGCGGGGCAGCTACCCCAGGCCCACGACCCGCCCGCGCCCAGGGCAGGCAGTCACCTGACCTGCTTTCGGAACTCGAGGCTGGGCCAGGTCTCCTCGCTGAACCTGTAGCCCTCATGCAGGAGGGTGAGGATGTACAGGCCTGAGGCACAGTAGTCTCGCAGCCAGCGGTCCTGCCCAGGGTAGCTGGCCTCCACCTGGGGCCCAGGAGGCCAAGGTACCAGGTGAGGACCCCCCCGATCCTCAGTCATGGGGGGACTGCCCCATCTGCCCTGGCCAACCTGACACCCAGACAACAAGAGGGTGCTGGGCAGTGGTCGAGAGCCCCTCCCTGGCCCCGCTGACCGGTTAAATGGTGCGGGCTGCAGCCCCCTCTTGGCGGGCCAGAGGCTGGGCCCAGCTGCAGCTGCGGTCACAGCCTCCTACCTGGAGCGGCACGGCCTAGAGCTGTCCTCTGCCCGTGCCTCCCCCGGCCCTGCCAGCCGCGCTGCCCGCCGCGCTGCCCAGAATGAGGCGCCAGCATCCTGCCCGGGGCAGCCCTGCCCCCTCAGGGACCCTCGCTGCAGCCGGGGAAACCGGGGCCCACCCACCAGTTTCCAGGGCCTCTGGCAAAACTCCCGGATGGTGGCGTTGACCATGCTCAGGGGCTGCCCGGAGGTGAGGTTCAGGAAGTGGAAGGTGTAGTAGAAGTTGGAGAAGGCCTGGGCGAGAAGAGAAGGAGGCGGCTGTGCTTTGCTGTGGCTATGCTGGGTCAGATCCCCACCCCACCCGGGCTCCCAGAGACCCCAAGAGCCAGCCTGGGCCCCTCCTGGGCCTGCTGCAGTCAGACAGGCACCTGGGGCCCCACAAGGAAGCCGGGACCCCTTGGTGGGGGGGCGGCGTGGGAGCTCACGTAGAACTTGCCCTGCAGCGGGGGCTGGTAGATGCCGTCGAAGGCACAGTCCTCCCGGCCCTGGCAGCTGGAGAAGTTGAAAAGTTCCCGGATGGCTGAGATGCAGGCCCCAGGGTTGCCTGTCCCTTCAACTGTGAGGTTCTGGGGGAGGCTCGGGGGGGGTGTGGTGTGGACACAGGGTGACTCGTACAGTGGGGCCAGGGCCAGTGTGGTCTGGTAGCCGCTGAGGTAGCATGGGTGACGGATCAGGGCAGCCGGGCGGCTCTGCAGAGGGCAGGAAGGCCTGAGCACCAGCCCCACACCCGCAGCCCTGTGCACCCTCCCCGGGGCCGGATGACCCACGCCAGCCCCGCGCCCATAGCCCTGTGCGCCCTCCCGATGGCTGATGACCCACGCCAGCCCCGCGCCCATAGCCCTGTTCCCACAGCCCCGTGCACCCTCCCCAGGGCCCGCTGACCTGCACCAGACCCACAAGGAGCCTGCTTAGCATCTGGTCCCGCCCGAAGCAGAGGTAGCTGTGAGTGTAGACGCTGTAGTTGGAGCCGTAGAGGCGAAAATCGGCCTGGGTGCTCTTGTCCAAGATAGGGCCCCCAGGCACGAAGGTGATCTGGGTGGAGGCCCCCCCCATGTCCAGGGCGCCCACCAGCGTCTCCTCCGGAGGCTGGATCCATTCTCCAGTGAAGGAGTACTGGGCACAGAAGGGGCCACTTAGCTCGGAGCAGCCACCCGGACCCCGCCCTGGTCAGCCAGCCCCAGACACCGGCCCCTCGCAGACCAGCCCCCGCCCTCGGGCTGCCTGTCGCACCTTGACCAGCGTCCCCAAGCCGTAGTTGACAGTGATCCAACCAAAGGCACCTTCGTCCTGCCCCGCCAGGAGCTCGGCACCCCAAAAGTCCACGGGAGACCGGCCCAGGACCTGGGTGACTGCTGCGAAGATGTCCCGGGCCTGAGAGCTGTTCTTCTGCCTGGGCACAGAGGACCAGGGACTGGAGCTGGCTGGAAGCCTGGGCTCGGCCCCACCCTGCCTGCCACGCTGGTTGAGACCATGGCTTCTGCAGCCATGCCCTGTGGGTGCCAAGGCCATGCCCGCCTCACCTGAGCAACCTCATGCCAGCCGTGGCCCCCAGGAACATGGGTGTTTTCCGATGCTGGGCCTCTGGGATCAGCACCAGCGCCTCCTCCAGGCAGCCCCGCAGGCTCTCACCAGCCTGTGCAGGGTCAGAAGTGTAGGAGGAGATTCCAGGCCCTGGAACAGCAGCCGGGGACAGAGCTCCAGACCCCGCAGGCTGGCTGGGCTGAAAGGCAGCTCCCAAAGACGTCGCCACCTCCTGACCCCCGGTGTGGCCACCAGCCAAGGGCTGTGTGGAGCGCTCAGGCTAGAGGAAGCAGGAAGGACCCTAACCCCGAGCCTCTGGAGGGGTGCGGCCCTTTCCAGACCTTGTTTTCAGACTTCTAGAATGCTGAGAAATAAGGTGCTACTGTTTTAAGTCCCCAACTTGTGGTAATTTGTTACCAGAGCCCACAGGAAACAAATTTGGGGCTCCTGTTTTCCCCTCTCAAGATCCTGGAGTGCAGGACCCCTGTGGCTACCAGCTTCGGCCGCCAGCACCACATGGTGCCAGGGTGGGGAGCACCAGGGGCCAGAGAGGGTCAGGGCCGAACGCAGCAGACGCTGGGCAGACCCAGGCCAGGCCATGAGAATCTGACTGCTCACTGGGACCTCGGCCGTCACTGAACCTCTCCAGACCCTTTCCGTGCATCTGGGAAATCCCAGCCAGGCAACAACAGGCAGATCCCAGCACCGGGCTGCAGAACTGCCCACTAACCTTCCACCTGGCAGGCCAGGGCCTGGCTGACCACACCAGTGCCATTCTCCTTGTCCGCCGGCCACTGATACAGGAAGAGGGACGTGTGGGAGGAGCCCGCATCAAACACGATGCCAAACTGGGGAGACAGTGGGATAAGTGGGAGGCAATACCTGTGGACCGCGCCCGGCCTCCCCTGCCGGCGGGGACGCACCTTGATGTCCGTGGGCAGGAGCACGCTGGTGGCCTCCACCAGGAGGAGAATGAGTGCAGTGAGGCCCGAGACCCCCGAGGTCCCCAATATGGCCAAGAAGACCTGCTCCTTCCGGGACAGCCCCATGGCTCAGGTGGTCCTGGTTCCTGTGGGGGGACGGCCGTGGGCACCCAGGCTGCACTCGGTGTCCCCGCCCCCGTCTCCCTGGAGACGGACCCCTGGAGAGCCACTGGCCTTAGAGGCATCCCCGGGGCTCAGACAGCCTCCCGTGGCCAAGGACCATTCCCTGGGAGCCACACCTGCTGGGGGTGCCATGGGCATCAGAGGGCCCTGTGGGAGGGGGTGGGGGGACAGCAGGGGCCTCATCGGGGGACATGGCCTCAGCAGGATCCAAGTAGCCCCCTCGGATCCCCTTGGATGGGACTGGCGGAGCTGCCCTCACCATGTGATGGGGTCACCCTGTGTCCCCACCCTTTGGTCCTGCCTGTCCCGTGCCAGCCTCCCCAGGGGCAGCTCCAGCCTGCACTGGGGGCCCAGGGCTCTGCCTCCTCTCTGCGGCCCCCACCCCAGGCTCTCCCAGGGTGAGGTTTCTCTCTGGAGCCCTGAGGGGGCTGCCTGGGGACTGTTGCCAAGGGGTGGCGGGTGAACCCAGGGTGAGGCCAGTCATCCTAGGAAGAAGTGAGGCTTCTTAACGACATCGGTTTCTCTGGAAATCCAGCTCTAGGCTTCTCTAATCTGACTCTGCGCCTTCTTAACTGGCGCCAGATGGCCCTTGGGAGGGAGGTGGACCCAGGAATGCCACCTGAGGGGCCTGGGCTTCTCTAGCCCTGTGGCCCAGGTGTCCACCTCCTCCTCTGCCTGGATGCCCAGCAAGGCATCTCAGTTCTCAAACTACCCCAGGCCTATCCTGTGCCACATATAGCCCCACTTCACACAGGTACCACTGTCCAAAGGAGTGGTCAAAGCCAGAAACTGCCACCAAGGTCCTGGCACCTAAGCCCCACATGACTGTGTCCTGTCGTGTTCCCCCAGGACACGTTGCACCCACACGGAGTAGCAGGTGTGGGTGCTGCCCTGGTCCTGACCTCGGGCTCCTGGGCACATGGAAAGTGGGACACGCTGTGGGGTCCTCATGCAATTCTGTATGTCGGGGGGATACAAGCCCATTTTAAGGAGGATAGATGACAGAGGCCCAGAGAGGACAAGTGGCCGGTCCAGTCCAGACAGGGCCCAGCCTGTGTCCCCAACTGGCACCCAGGCCACAGGCCACCTCCTAGGGACAAACAGGTGACAGGGGCCAGGAACACAGGGACTCCACACTCTGATGTAGCCACCTGAGACCCCCAGACCTGAGCCTCCAGGAAGGCAAACAGGATGGGGCAACCTCCCCCACACTCAAAAAACCCCCCAGACCAGGACAGCCCCCCAGATCAGAACAGCCCCCTAGATGAGGACAGTCCCCGAGACCAGGACACCCCCTCAGACAGAACAGTCCCCCAGACCAGG